GTCGCCGTGGACGAGATCCAGCAGGCCATCTGCTCGCCCCTTCGCCGCCTGCGGAAACGGCGCCCTCCTTTGCTTCCCTGCCAAGCAGCTGTCGCAGAGCTGCTGGGCGTGCTCGATCACCGGCAGGCCCCGAACCATATCGTGGCGCGCGAGCTTGCGGAGCGCGTCGAAGTTGAGGTGCCCGTAGCGTTCGTGCCACCTCCAGGCTAGCTCCCCGGTGCGCGCAGCGAGGCATACCGGCTGTGTGGCATCGAGGGTGACCACGTACAGGCGGTTCCACGTGCTCCACCCTGATGAGAAGCCGTTGCTGCTGGTCGCGCAAGCGCAGGACGCCATGCTCGATGAGGACCTGGCAGCCGTTTTCGTCGAGCTGGCCGAGGCTGATGATGTTGCTGCGGAGGCGGGGAATGTAGTACACATCAGTCAGAGCTCGGTGCTCACCATTGCGGCACGCGAAGATGATCGTGCCTCATCCTTGGATCTCCACCACGGATCCATCCCTGAATTTGACCGTGCCCGCGATGCCGGTGTCGAGCTCGGAGAAGACGCCTCTGACGCCGGTCATGTGATTGCTGGATTCGGTGTCGAGGAACCAGACGTCGTTGGCATGGGCCTCCCTCGAGAGGAAAACCTGATCCTCGACCAGCGTCACGTCTGTGGGCGCGCCCGTAGCTCGCACGTTTGTCGGGGCGTTGCCGCGCGCCGCCTGGGGCGCTCCCGGTGGCTGTATCGTGGCCATCAGGAGTGCGGGGCCCCGTTCGTGCAGGGTGCAAGCCCTCGCCAGCAGGAGACCCACGTCGTCGTCGTCGATCCTGGCAAGGTTGGCCTTTGGCTGGAGCTGGGGTTGGGCCGCCGGTGGCTGTGCCGGCACCGGCTGGCCCTGGCCCTTGCGCTCTCATCGCGGTTCCTTGCAATCCCTGGAGAAATGCCCGAGCTTGTTACAGTTGTAGCATTTCACCTTTGACATGTCGCGCCCACGTCGCTGTCCGCCGCCGCCACCCTGCGCCTTGCCCTGACGCTGGCCACCGCCACCAGACGAGCCAGAGCCTTGCCTCAGCTCCTGCTGGCCCTTCCGTGCGTACCACTCCTGTTCAGTGAGCAGGAGCTGCCCGCCGTGGCCTTTCGCGTCGGCGCGGTAGCGCTCCTTGGCGGAGCGGAGACGGCCGACGAACTCCTACACCGTTAGGTTCCTGAGATCAAGGAGGGTCTCGATGGCGCAGGTGATCTGGGTGTACCGAGCCGGCACGACGCGCATGAACTTCTGCACCACGCGCACCTCCTCCACGTTGTCGCCCAGCGACCGGAGATTGTTGACGAGGGTGGTGATGCGCATGGCAAAGCCGTCCAGGGTCTCGCCATCCCTGAACGCGATCTACTCAAAGTCAGACCGGAGACGCTGCGCCGTGGCCTCTCGGACGCGGGTCACGCCCATCCGCATCGTGCGCACGGCCTCCCAGGCTTCGTACGCGGAATTCTTGACGGCGAGGACGCCGTGCATCTCCGGGGGCACCGCCCGAATCAGTGCGGCGAGCGCCGCCATGTCCTCACGGTCCGTGACCATGCCCTCGCCGAGCATGGCCTCCCAGAGGCCCTGCGCGCGCAGGTTGATCTGCATGACCAACGACCATTCGATGTAGTTGGTGGAGGTCAAGGTGGGGTAGACGATCGTGCCGCCGTGCCCGGCGGATTCCCGGATCACGCGCTCGTGGACGACCACCTCGCCCGTGTTCCTCCTGACGCGGCTGCGCCCGCGGCTTCGGCCGCGCGTCTCCGTAAGCGCCTATGGCGTTGCCTCCCTGCCGGTTCCCTGGGCAGCCGCGGCTGGTGCCTCGTCGGCGCCGGCCTCCCTGCTGCCCGCCATGGTCCCTCGTTGCCGGTGGCTCTGATGCCAATTGTCAGGCAGCGGCCGCGCTCTCTCGCTCTCTGAACTCTCTCTCTCTGAACTCAAGGAGACGAGTGATTTGCGCAGTGCACAACTAATACTGCTTTTTTGTCTTCTCTTCCTCTTATTCTGCTCTTCCTAACAGACACGGCCGATGCGCACGCCACTGCCCCATCCAAGCTGAACGTGCCATCCCACGTTCGCGGAGTAGGCGTGCTCACCGCGGCCATCATCTACACCTAGTCACGCTTGGCGCGCACAGATCGTGTGCTCGGCGTCTTATGCATGCAAGAAGCAAAACCCGGTCCAGCTACGAGATGGGTCAGGGTTTAACTAACAATGCTATTAATTAAGGATAGTTGCTGACTACATTGATCCCACGTTTAAGGCCTCGAGTAGCCTCTACGTAAGGTGAGTGTTGAAATATATTGCCCACCCTTCTCCATGTTAAGGAGTATTAGTATTGGTCTAGGAGTCCTTATTAGTCTATGTTTAGTTTCCTTACACCTCAAGTCATATGTAATATATATATGCCCCTTGGGCCTTCAATAAAGATAAGTTGCTTTCCTAACATGGTATTAGAGCTTAGCTTATTTTTTTTCGGTGCCGCAACTCGCCCTTCCGATCGAGTTCTTCCTCTCGATCTCTCGATCCAATCTTGCTCGAGCCGCTGCCCTTTTCTCATGGCCGACATTGCTGCAAGCACGCCTCAATCTACACCACGATACGCCGGCTCCTGCCCACCCGCCCGCCCGCCCGCTGGAGCCTGTTCCCGTGTTGATTCGCTGGATGTCCCGCGCTGCCTGAAACAGAGCTCCAGCTTGCCTGTGCAACTCGGGAGGCTGCTGGATGGGGTGCTGCTACGTGGTGCTCCTACCTGCTACGTGCTGCTGCTACGTGGTACTACTGCCTGCTACTACGTGTTGCTGCTAGTTCCCCATGGATCTAGTTCCGCCGTCCGGCTGCCTGCTTTGCTTTCGCTGTGTCTTGGTCCGGCTACGTGTTGCTGTGTCTCGGTCTGCTGCTTGATCTCGTAAAAAAAAATCTTTATGTTTCTTCCGCTGCTAGATTTTCCATCTATCTATTGCATCTAATATTGCTTTTAGTTTTCTTTTCTTTCATTGCGTCCACCAAATCCGTTAATATTTTGTGTTTCTCATGCCATACGAGTCCGTCCGTCAGCCATTTTCTGGTCATTGTCCTCTGTATAGGATTTCTGTGGCCTCTCTTTGCATTGTTGATCTAAGCCCATTCTCTTGCCGCCGAGCTTCTTTCGCCGTCGGTTTTCATGGACCATGATTCTTTAAGCAATGCTTCTCTTGATGTGCCATCTTCTTTCGACAACCCATCTTCTCTTGATACTTCTCTTTATCTTCTATCGATGCGGTGTCTTCCTCTGATGTGCCATCTCTTCGTTATCCCCTTTGGCGACTTAACAGGTTTTGAAGACTCTTCATGCTACGACGACACTCTCAAGACGCGGATTTGAATTATCAATTTTTTTAGTATTACACTTCTTCAAATACAATGCTATTGCATACGCTTTGCATTTGAGGGCGGGTGTTAAGGAGTATTAGTACTGGTCTAGGAGTCCTTATTAGTCTATGTTTAGTTTCCTTACACCTCAAGTCATATGTAATATATATATGCCCCTTGGGCCTTCAATAAAGATAAGTTGCTTTCCTAACACTCCAGACTTTTGGATGAACTGGCTGGTGCATGAATTCAGTAGACTGAGGTGTGTTCCGCAGTGCTACCCTATTCACTCGAGATTAAGCTTTATTTACTTTAGGTTATTTTTCTTAATCTGTACAGATATGCTCTCAGTTTCGCTGCATTTGTAGTTCGCAGCTAGTTACGTAAACTGTGAAGTACTAGTCAAGTAGCAGTACTTGTTAGTTTGATAGAGTGCACTACTACTAGAGTAGTCTTCACTGTTCACAATAGTGTTCCACGTTATTGAAATTTTTCGTATGCTTATCTACTTGCAACCATTATGTGTGGTGCTGTTCAATGATCACTGATGTTTATATGAGCGAGAAACATACTAGCTACTTTGGTTATTCTTATACAATTGCCAGGTTAATTTGATATAGTTGCCAGCTTTTCTAATACAGCTGCAAGTTTTTCTAAAGCAAATACCGAGCCCTCTAGTTTAGCTACCACGTTGTTCTTGTACAATTGCCAGGTTGGTCTAATAGAGGTGCCAGGCTGGTCTGATATACTCCCTCCGTCCAAAAATACTTGTCGTTGAAATGGATAAATATAGATGTATCTAGAACTAAAATATGTCTTGATACATCCATTTCTAGGACAAGTATTTCCGGACAGAGGGAGTAGTTGCCAGGTTTTCTATTACAGTTGCAGATATTTCTAATACTGTTGCCAAGTTCTTTTAAAGCAAGTACTGGCTTTTCAATTTATTTACCAGGTTCTTATACAGTTGCCAAGTCGGTCTGATAGAGTTGCTAGTTTTTTCAAAATCAACTACCAGGTTGCTTAGACACCCTTGCTAGGTTTTCTGATATACTGTAGTTGACAGTTTCCTCAAAAGCAATTACCAGGTTATCCGATGCAGCTATCAACTTGTTTAAGAACAGGTACCAGGTTTACTATCAGTTGCCGGGTTCTCCGATTTGTGTAGTACGTATATGCATAGACTCCCGGAGTAGAGGGCCAAAGCACAAAAAGCTGTTGTGTTTATTTGGTTGTTCGTTACCATCTACCTATTTTAGCTACAGTAACTAGGCAATTACAAAGCCATGTGCTGGCCTATCAGATTTCTGGCATTGTTCAAAATTTTATTAGCATCACCTAGCAATCTCTTATACTCATACCACACAAGGCCTGTAGTACTTCTACCACTTTTCCTGTAGTGCACCATAGCAGAAAAAGGCTAGCACACCCAACTCCCGCCCAACAGTTCACGCATGTCAAAGGGAATCAGTTGGTTGGCTGCTCGCGCCGCACACTAAGTTTCCGATCTATATTTAGCTATCTATCATAGATCACACTGATTTGTGCATATCAAGCCAGTTGTGGTGGTGTCTCTGTGATTTTAGTTCTTTCCTCTTCTTTTTTAATATAGATATATTTGAATCATTATACTTTTCTGCAGATATATTCAGGAAAATTATTCCAAAATTCGGGATGTTGAGAAGGAGCTAGAGAATCTTACTCTAGAAGTTAAACTGACAGCTGGACCAAAGAAAGCAGGTAAACTAATACTCCCTCCATTCCATAATATAGTGCGTATATATTTTTCAGAAGTAAAACTTCATAAACATTTACCAAGTTTATAGAGAAAAATATCGAGATATACAATACCAAATACATATCATTATATTCATCATAAGGCATAGTTTCTTATTGTATTTATTTGGTGTTATAGATATCGATAAATTTCTCTATATACTTGGTCAAACTTTATTAAGCTTGATTTTTGAAAAAAAATTCTGTACGCACTACATTGTAGAATGTTTTAAAAGGGAGTAGTTCTTTTGAGGCATACACATGGTTTAGCTTTTGTACATGCACTACTTCCACTTGGCTAAACTGATTATACTCTTATTTTTCCTGGTTCCAGCACTCGAGCATTTGAGGAAAAAGATTGAGATGTCAACTGAGCGAATACGTTTGGCTAAGGTGAAAGAGGACGAGGTAAAAAAGGTTGGACTTCTTCCCTCCTGATTATAATACAGTGACTTGTCATTATCTTATACAATTGTTTTGCTCCCTTCCAAAATATTTCCATCTGTTTGATTTTCAGTTACTAGCTACCTGTGTTGTGGATGAAATGGAAGATGCAACTTGTTTTGCAAGAAAACATAATACTGTTAGAGTATCACTATCACCTGTAGGGCAAACCCTAATACTGTTGGTTGCATCTTTCAGCAAATGTCACATGCGAAATTTGAGTTCATGAGACAATATATAAGATGCATGGAGAATAAATTGCTATTGTAGATAAACTAAATAAACTGAATTTATATTTTCCTCTGAAACTGCAACTATTATGTGTCTATTCGGATTATAACTTAAATTAGAATGCTATTAAACAAATGTAATATTGGAGATCAAGTGCATTCTTGTACATTGAGTTTTAATATATGAGAAGTTAGAAAGAAGTTAAACTTATGCTTGTTGAAGTAATGTGACGGAGGGGAATCTCTTCTGGTCCGGTATCTCAGTGTTAATGCCCAAAGAGAGGGAAACAGGGAGGATCCAGGAAGCGGGTGTTTAGTGAACTCCTATAATGATTTTTTTCTTCTGTTATAGTCTGGAACAAGTGTTTATTTTCTCTACGGAAATGCTTGTAATTAATCATTTTTTCTCCAGTTACATAATACTGTATGATTTAGCTGTTTGCTTTATATTGTTGATCTGTTAAATAACTTTTGCTAGTTTAGGCCTGGGAAGCTGCTGCACAAGTTGTTAAAGAGGAAGAGGAGGCTAAGCAGAGGCTATGTGACGATCTGAACCGGTTGGTATGTGTTTCCTTTTTTCTAGTCCTTATTCGCACACATAATGATCTTTTTCTTATTACATCATCGATTCAGTTGAGAATATCTTGGTTATTTGTTTCAATTAGGTTCAAGAGAGTGCGGCTTCACAATATTCGAGGTTAGAAGAGTTAAAGAAGCGTTTGGAATGTCTAAATCCCATCAGGGCTTCTGTCGATGTTTCTGTAAGTCGAGACATGTTTCTTTCCTGATAGCTATAGTTAGTTATTTCTTGCTGATGTTTGCATGCACATTCTTGTTTTTCGTCTCAGTTGAGTTGTACATTCTCGTGTTTATAATTATCAGGGTATCAACACTGTACAGCAGGCTACCACAAATTCGGTACCTCAGCAACCCACCTCACAAAATCTAGCGAATGCAATTGCCCCTGCAAGCAATGTCCACAAGCCCGCCACCAGCGGATCACAGCAACAAAGACCTGCTGAGGCGGAAAGGAAGCAGAGATCATCAAACTCGGGAGGAAGAGGGAGAGGCGGTGTGATGGTCCTCCCCAAGGGAAGGGGAAGCTCTGGATCAGGATGGACAGGTGCTGGGTTTGAGACATGATGCTGGGATCCGTAGTTATATATACTTGAAATAATTGGCATGGTTGTCTTGGTATAAAACGATGGCTTGGTTGGAACTGGAAGGCTGAAAGTGTAATGGAATGTCGATCCTTTTTGGATGTATATGTTGTGCAACAATAGAACATGTTATTCTTGAGAGCTGTAAGTTGTAAAACACCTGTAGTGTAACTGCCAATGCAGTCACTTCATTATTAGTACTAGCAAAGAGCCCGTGCGTTGCAACGGGAGAAAAAACATAACACACACTCTTAACCCAACAACCATCACTCAATAGGTCCATCTCTTTTATATTTGCGAGGCATCATATTTGTGTTGCCGCTTATCCTCCTTCTCACCCTCGCCGGTGATGGCCTCGGTGTTCGCATAAAACAACAAAAAATATGTTTGAATATGGTTAATCCTAAGGTGTCTCTCTCTCCCTCTCTCCTCCCTTGCCCCCCCTCTCTCTCGCTTTCTCTCATTCTCGCGATGAGAAATCTGTTGTTTTCCTCTGCGACATTTTTCTGAGGTATGCATGTGTAGTTATTGATGTTTTCTTTTGCCTATATGGTTATAGCGGGGTGTTTATTTGCAATCCAGATCGCCGCCGGTATGAAAGAAAAACGGATCTTGCGCTAGAAATTATAATTTTGCTTTCAAAACAATATTTAAAAAATATTTAACAGGTAAAATTAACATCATATTTAGATTTCATACATTTTTCTAATAAAATTTCATATATAATATGTTAAAATCGAAGTTACGGTTTAAAAGATACGGATAATTTAGCAAATCATTTGTTTGATTTAAATATATTCCAAAATAATATTAACAATACTTAATAGGTAAAAATAATCTTATATTCATATTCTACATATTTTTCTAATCAAATTTCATATATAACATGTTTAAAAAAGTATTTGTTTGACTTAAATATGATCCGCGGATGAATTTCCTAAAATGTTAGGGGGGTTTTCGGAAAACGTAAAATAACGGTTCTGGTGTGACTTAAATCCGGACGGCGGGTTGATTTCAAGAAAACACATGGACTTTTGTGTAAAATACGAAAAATGATTCATTTTGACTTAAAACAGGACTGCGGGTTGAATTCTCTGAAATAGAGGGACTTTTCTAAAAAATCCCATGACGGACGAAAGAAACCCAATTTACTTTATTATTAGGTAAAGATTGGAGTAAATATGCTGCTAATACAGTCATCTTATCTACCCCTGTAATATATAATATATGGTGGGATACGAAACTCCCCTCTCGTCCGCTCCCGCGAGCGGCGAGGCGACCACTAGCTTAGCTCCTCCAGTCCCCTCCCCCACCCCCTCGCTGCCGCTGGTTCGCGCTGCCGGCCGGCATCGGTGGCGACGGGGCATCTTCCCCTTCCTCGCGGTGGACCGGCACGGAGGCGCGCGGCTCTGCAGGGCGGCGCGACGTGGTGGGGGCCAGGGCGGCACAATGGTGGCGATCAAGGTTGGCGGCGCGGGCGGCTGTGCATCAGGGGCGCGTTGGGGCGTGCCTGCGCGGGTGGCGGCGGCGAGCTCCTCGCCAGATCTGGATTAGGCGGTTGCTCCGGCCGGTGCCCAGCAGGTGGCGTGGGCTGAGGCGGCAAGGGCCTGCCGGCGGCGCGCGACGGCTGATGCGCTCGTCGTCGTTGGCATGGTGGCGGTGGTGGTGTTGCGTGCCGGCCAGATTTCGCCTTTTTTCCGGCCAGCGGCGCGGGTTTGGGCCCCCGGACCAGCGTGGTTGCGGTCCCGGCTGTGGGCGGCGGCGGCGAGGTGGCTTCGCCGTGCCGGCTCCACAGCAGCTCGGCGGGTCGACTGGGGTGGCGGCTGGCTTTTCGACGTCGGCTTGTCTGTAGGCGGCCCGTTTCGACCTTTGGCCCTCTCCTCGTCGTCTGGTTGCTACCTTCGTCGAAGGTCGGCCTTCCCCCGACTTCGGTCCATCGCTCGTCTCGCGCTCGGCCGCAGGACCGACCTCGTCTCGCGCCCGGCAGTAGAACCGACCTCGTCTCGCGCCCGGCAGCAGGACCGTGCTCGTCTCGCGCCCGACAGCAGGACATGTCGATGGAGGCCAATTTTGGGCGGCCTCTGGGTTTCGGCATTGGGGGCAGCCAGGGGTGCGAAAGGCGGTTCCTTTCCGCTCGTATCTTTGGTTGGGGTTGCGGTGGGTCTCGAGTGAGGTGGTGTCAAGGTCTTGGATGCCAGGGCGGTGGCCCTGGTGGTGGCTTCGCGATGCTCTTGGGCAGAGCCCGTGGTTAGGTGCGGCCCGGTGGCCATGGCCGTGTGGGCGGCGTGGTCAATGGGTTGTGGCATCCAGTGGTGGTGAGTGTTGGACGGGGTGAAAATCTGATTTATCTTCGGATGGACTGGCGGCGGCGAAGCTCGCTCCCTTCTTGAAGGCGTCGTCGCTGCTCTCATTGCCCGTCATGTTGCTCCAGGGGAAACTCTGATCCTCGGGTCGAGCAGTGACGGCGCTCTGATGTCGTAATCTTCCTGAAGGCGCCGCCTTGGAGCACAAGGTTCGTCATATGCAACTTCTTCTCTTCGCGTTGGCGTGTCCACGGTTGAGGACTCCGGTTGCTGTTGTAGTACTAGGGTTAGTGTTACTGCGCTCAGCGCCTATGTATCCAGCCTTTGTGTGCGTGTGTTGTGGTGGTGTGCGTTCGTATCTGAGTTGTGGTCGGTCATTGCTTTATATATAAAGCGGGGCGAAAGACTTTTTTGATATTATAATATATATATCTTTATCTTTACCTACTAACCAGTAGAACGCCAGTGCGTTGCTACGGGCTATAATGCATATAATAAATTAAACAAATAATTAAGGTCGTCTCGAAGCATCTCTCACTCTCTATCTCTCTCATACATCTGGCTGTGTACAGACACCAAACATGCACCCAGCGGGCTCCTCAAAATCCAACCGCCCGGATAGTCCGGGCTCCCCAAATTCAGCCCATATGTGGGTGAGAAATGTGGTTGTCTGGACTATCCGCCATGTTATCTCCAACACGTGGTCCCAACCGAATTACACATCCCAACACGCACCCTTCCGTTTTAAACCGGATGACGCCCACGTTATCTTCGCCATAGCACCAACAGTACTTCACACAGTTTTTCCCATGAATCGTCAACGTACTTTCCCATGGATCGTGAATGAGGAGCCCCCCGCCAACCACCCGGCTTTCCCCGCTGATCCCCTCCCCACTCGTGACGCCCCTTAGCCAAGACGGCAGATCTGATGCCTCCCGGGCCATTGCCACGTTGTAACATATACAGTTGAATGTCGTGCATTACCACGAAATAAAAATATGATGTCCGTTGTTGGACAAACAACTAATACGCCACTGTGTCCGTTATTAACTCCAACCATGAGAATCCGCATAATACTTATTTTCTCCAACTATGAGAATCCCCATAATACTTATTTACATCAACTATGAGAATCCACACATGAGAATCCACACGTCTTTCTTTGTCCTCTCCACTTTCATTCATGTGTTCTGCTTTCTTCCTCTGACCAACCAGCTGACCTAGATCTGCGAAAAGGAACAAAATTGTAAAGCAATATAGCATAGTAACGCATCACTTATATATTATGTATTGGCGAAAACATGTGATCATTTGCCCAGCAAATACCTTTCATTGAGTTAGTTATTATTACACGTGCATTGTTCCATTCACTCGACAATAAATGGATGATCTTTTCAATTTAAAATGCTATATGTGAACTACAAAGTGACCGAAGATCACAGTAGACGGAGATATTGCTACTAACTCAGCAGTTGGAACTACCGCGAATACTAATATTAGCTTTGACACTTGTCTATAGCTAAGTAATGCGATCAAATTTGTCTTCTTTTAAAAAACATGTAAGATCAGTTTCGTACTATTTTGAATGAATTGGCAATGTTCCTCAATTAAATTCGGCATAAGGCCTTTAATTAAAGTTGGTCCTCAGTTCTTGTTTTATGCTCATTTTATTTGGACCAACACAAAAGCTTTGTGTGAGTTTAATAAAGAACTCTAAGCTAACTCAAGTTTACACATAAACTCAAAATTACAAGGAAAATTGGAAAAATATAATGGTGCCATCTTCAAAAGGTTTCCTTTGCAAACTTAGCCACTGCCAATGGTTATCCAACAACAAACTAAAAAGATAATATAATCATTAAATATTACTCTAGAAGGAAGCTCGTCGCATGACAATTTGTACCATAAATCATGTTTACTACACAAGCAACTTTATATATACCATGTCCCAAATAAACTCTTAGAGAATAATCAAATGACGAGGTGAACAAGATCTCTAGCTCGTACCCAGAATTTAATGTTTTATGGGTATGTGCATCATTTGATGCACAGGCTTTTACGAAAAAACAGACTCGATTTTTCCTTATTCCGCGGGAGGCCTTTGACCAAGAATATTTCACCTAGAAGGATGAAATATATTCATAAAATTGTTAATACTTCAAATGGAATACGGAAAACTGAATGTCATAGCAGGATATATATAGGTCTCGGTTCAAGAGGAAGAAGCAGTATTAAGCACAAAGATGGATCTGCATGACAAGTAATATTTTTCTCGAAGTATATGTAGAAATAGTACACACACATGAAAAAAATAGTTCTGGCATGAGTGCTAAACGCAATTTTAAGAAAGCTATTACAGGTTCATTGCACTGCCGACTACAATATATTTTTCTGTAAAAGGTGCCACATACTTATTGGACTTTTGAATATTTTATATTTGAAAAGTTATAGAAGCCTCTAAAGCGTGATTAGTGAAATATTTGAATCTCATGCCTATAGAAATATACTACTGCCTAAGTTGACCAACTACATCCTTATATAATATTGGAAAAATCAGGGACCAAAGGACCATCTCTTCCTAATGCATAACCTGTAGAACTCCATTACTGCTTAAGTTGATCAACTACATCCTTGTCTAATATATAACGGATAAATCATAAATCAATGGACCATATGTTTC